GGCCCGTTGGCGGACTTGTACCGCCACCCGGCAATCGGTACTGAGGTATTCCTTAACGCGTGCACAATCACTTGGACGGGAAGAAGTTGTATACTGGATACAACAAATTCCGGAACAAGCATTTGCCACGGCCCTCGCTCAGTAGGGCTCGAACCGATATTCCACGAACATGTCTAAAAAATGAAATTGATTTGATCAAGTCGTTAGTCAGATAGGCCATTACAATTAGTTCTCAGTCCTCACTCGTTAGACAATGCTGCAATCTAGAATTGCATTCTTTGCCCTACCAAACACCCAAAAACGTTGCGATCACAGCTGCGATTGCTGCGTTTCTATATCGCTATATTGAACTCCGATCCACACCGTCGTGAACATTGTTAGCTAACCAGTGTTATAATTTTTTTAAAGCGAAATATGTTGGCTAACAATGTCTGCGGAGTTGAAGACTCAGGATGGCATCTATACATTCGATACCTTCCAATTTATAGAAGGTCCAAGGATCAACGAGAAGACATACCGACGTGTATTAGTGGCATGGTTTTGGAGATCTACATTTTAATTTAAAAAACATAATATCTCATTTTATAATTTTTTCGGTAGTACAATACTACTGTTCGATTAAGGTATAGATGGTCGTGTGAAACAGTTAATATGGACATATTTTATGTGGCAAAATGACTAAAAACTATTTTCCAAAATATCTTGACGGCTAGCTACTGGATTTTGTTGAAGGTCTGTTAGTGGCTTGTTTTTTGTGAGTGTACTAATTTATTAAATATTAGATCACAGATATTTCGAAAACACCAAATTAAACTTGATTATTTTGAAAGGTGCGAATATGTGTCGGCACATGTGCCACAAATGGAACATGTTGCGCAACTAGCGATTTACTACTTGATTTGATTTTCAAGATCTTTGACTTCAAATTAAGTCAAGCTTAAGTCAAGCAATGTAAAGCAAGTCAAGTAGTTTTTACGTCAAGTATGTACTTGAAAATTCAAGTAGCCTTGATAATACTAATTTTTGTAATAAAATAATACTATAAATCTGTACCCCAGAGTCAGACTAGGTTAAGTCCATTTTTGTCAAAAATGAGTTTAATATGTTAAGCTTATGATAATGCTGAGAATTTTCATTTGCTACATGCAGCGTCCATCTATCTTTAATAATAAGGGAGTTACGACTGTTTAACTCATATCAAGTCGTATTCAATACAATGCAAGAAAAATATTTCTTATATAATTATCTCAAAACTATTTATTTGGACTGGCTCTGAGGTACAGAAATACACAACGGAAAGACTTTGCGAGAAGTTACAGAGAATTTTTCCCTCATATATAAAAAATGCCATAAGAGGTGTGGAATTATCGCAAGATTACAGCGAGAATTTCTCGTTGCCTAGACAACGGGAAATTTTCAGTGAGGATTGCCCGTAGGTATCGAAAATTTCCCTATAGGTCCGTATCTACAGTTACGATTGATGAAATGTGCATTTGTCGTCTTGGGCATCAAAATAAACCTGATAATTTTCCATTCAAGCATGTTGTCAGTACAAAACCGCATTCAAAACTCATGCAGTTTTTTAGACAACATAAGGATAAAACTGTAAGCTCATATGGAAAAAATGCATGTCATCATCAGCTGATACAAAGAAATAGAAAATCTGAATTAGCTTTTCATTCGCTAACCACGAGTTGAGACATGCATTTATCACTTGATTACGGGGTTCCATAATAGCCAGCACTAGAAAATTCCCTTTCAATGGACGTTGGTGTTGCAGGTGTCGATAAAAAATTTTTTGCCATTAAAACTAGAATTGGAAAAACGTTTTCGTTCCTTTTCCACCACTCGTGATTATTTGCATTGAAATACCAAATGCGGCACATCGGTTGTGCAAATAAATATCATTGGATTCCTTTATTAGAACAAAAATATAATTTGCCATCAAGAACATATTAAGCAGTTTGAGAAGGCCTGATATCGAAAACCCAAAGTAGCCACGCAGAAGCCTAAATACCGGTGCACCTCGGCTGCTATGAGGAGGTTAAAGAAACTCTGTGTGTTGTTCCGATTTTTGAAGTGCCTCTGGCTAGCAAAACTGGGAAGGGCTTCATCACGTAGATTGTGCCACAATCTCGTTACCCTAGCGGAAAAGGAGCGGTCGTATTGGCCAGTTCTGGATGTACGAAGTTTGACACGGTTAGGATGAGACGCCGAAGTCAGGCGGGTCTATCTGGCAGGCAAATCGCGCGGTGGAATCATGGAGGGGAGCTCTGAGGAGCAAAGCCCGTTGACATATAGCGGTAGAAGTGAACTAGATCGCCTAAGGTCCGTCGCTGTGAGAGGATCCCAAGACTGTCCGTTAGAGACGAGCCATCGATCAGTCGGACAGCCCTCCTCTGAACAGCATCGAGCATGGATAATGTAGACCTGGCGACAGTGCCCCAAACATGTGAGCAGTATTCAAGGCTAGGACTTATTTGAGCCTTGTACACAGTAAGGACAAAAGTACTTCTTAACCCTTAAGAAACAGCCTAGCCCTAGCTTTTTCCTAGCAGCTTCAGCTATTGGCGAGATGTGTTTGTGCCAGATCAACTCGTAGGTGATCTGAACTCATACCAGCCGAAATAAATTGCACTTTGGTACAACTCGGCCATCCATCGAAACCGGATAAGCGATAGGGTGCTTCTTGTTAGTCAGGGTACAGTACCGTGTTTTAGAAGCATTAAACTGTATTAGATTGTTGCGTTCCAAAGCAATGATAACCCCCAGGTTTCTCGTCATCGAGAAAGTCGCTAGTATTCTCTTCTCTAACTGACCGACAGAGATCGGCTTGTCACTCTGAATTCCTGTATACAGAGTGCTGTCATCTATCCAGGAAAGTTGATATGTAAGACTTAACAGTGTCGGAGCCAAAACCGATCCCTTGGGAACACCCGCGTTGACATTGCGGAATGAAGGGGCGAACCCATCAATTACGATGAATATCTTGCGGCACAAGAAGAAGTCAGTCACCCACGTGCAAAGGTCATGGGATAGGAGTTTGCATATGAGGTTAGCATGCCTGTGAGTTGTTTATCCAAGTGAAGAGGTCATTGATTGTATTGAAACAGGAACACCAGAGCACTTTCTAGCTAACATAAGCAGCTTATAGATATACACAGGAAACATTAACAGCACAAATGCAACGACATTGACTTGCGCAGGCAATATTGCCCTTAAAAGGAGCAATACATCAAAGTAAACATACTACATCTCATTTACAAACCCATCTTGGGTGTTCTGGCCAACGCAAACATTCTTTTCCTGTCTGCAGTATGTACAGTAGCTAGGCTAGAGATGGGAGTATAGCTAAAACAACGTATAGGTCTTGTTCAAGTTTTAAATGCTTTAAGATCGTTACCTACTGATACTTGATACAAATTCAGATTCGGTCTAAGTATCACCACCAAGTTAACTTTTACACACAATTGAAAAAAATTGTTTAGTTCTCATCTTTTTTGACTACGTTACAAAGGCCTGACTCTTAACTGTCGTCATACCTCATACAAGTACATATTGAGACAAATAGTACTGTTGGCGCCATCTGTGAGGACCGTGGCAGTGACTCACCTTCTAGATCGACGCGAAGTGACCTTCAATATTCTAGATGTTGCTTTGTGGTTCACCAGACCTTTCTCGAAGCAGCAATCGGGACTATATACTTCGAAGTTGAGTTATTTATTTTAACAGTGAGTAGATCTGATCAAAAGAAATGTTTTTTCCTTTAACATTTTTCTGGTAAAATTAAAGTAACAAAGTTATAGCCCGTTAGAAGTTTGAGTACCGCCCTGTCTCAATAATAATATTATGTGCTCGTGTTTGGCAACAACGGATATAATCCGGTTCATCGCATCGGAAACAAAAAAGCGAAAGAATTTGAAACGATGTTTTTACTACAATTATTATTCAGTTGTATTCAGTCAATGTGTCAGTCGGTAACGCGTGAGTCAATAGTGGTGTTTATTGCGTGGCTCAAACGAAATAAAAAATGGCACATGTTTACGAAAATGCTGAACTTGTGGACATGATTCTTATTCGTAATCGAGTGCAACCAACCCCTCGTGCCTTTGTTAATGTAGTACAAATGGCTCGTGAATCAGGTGACTTAAGACCTCACAGGGGAGGGCATGCCGGTGCTCCAAGACCGCACGATGAAATACAGGTCCGCACTGAAATACTTGTCGGGAGGATACTTTATAAAACAAGGTAACATTTTTTTAATTTTTTTTTTTATTTTTACACACATATTTTGGTTTATCTTCCTTCTACAATCATTATCTGAAAATTAATGACTCAACTTCAAACTCACCCTGTATAACTCGGCGGCCGGGAGATGGAAGCAGAGTACTGAATACGGTAGAGTAACAGAGCGGAGAGGAGTATAGTGCAGTCAATGGCGACATGAGGATTAGTCAGACATAAATAGTGATGTACATAAATGTTCTATCAAGTTAAATACATTAGTGCATTTCTTTTTGTGGAATCCAGTGTTTTAATTCACACCTAAAAGAACCCAGGAAAACGCTACAATATATAGTTTTCATTTGGTGGCCAGGAAAACAAGGAGATGTACCTTTATGAGTTCGTTTTAAGATGCGAAAGAAAAGTCGGTTTCTAGAGAAGATGGGCGCACTCAGTAGAGGAACCAACGTTTTCCATTGGACTGAGTATCTGTCCAAAGCGAATTAGTCAGACATAAATAGTGGTGTATATAAATTAATGTTTCAACAAGTTAAATAAATAAGTGCATTTCTTTTTGTGGAATCCAGTGTTTTAATCCACACGAAAAAAAAACCGCTACAATATCATAAGCTATGATAATTTCGACGTTGCCATGAAATTTCGATATATATCCTCAGACAGGGGAAAGCTTTCATAGCCATTCTCAGGCAGGAAGGCTAGACAGATTCTATCAGCCTTTCCTGCTCGGAGTGTGAAATTTTCCAAAAACGGCATACTCACTGAAACTCCTGACTAATTCTCCATGCTCTCCACCATTGAAGCGCATTGCAGCATTTCGTCAGGATGGGTAGCGTCATGCTAAAATTCAAACCAAATGAATTTGTCTCCATCCGCACATATGCTTGTATGTATGTGCTGTACTGTCTGTTTTTTATCACATACATTGCGCAGCATCATTCTTCTCACCAGTGGTTGCATTTCAACACGACTGCTCTACTCTAAATGCTTGGCACATTTGCCTGCAGTGAGCCTCTCACCGAAGGTTTGTTCCAGTTGTCATTGGAAGTTCATCCATCTACTGGATTCGAGTATATGCTCAGGAGTATCCGCCGTGTCCCGTTAGAAAATGTGCAGTATCTGCACTGCTCCCCTGTCAATCCAGGCCTCAATATCTGGAATGAGGCTCCTAGTCCACGCTCCATGGCTGGTCGTGTCATATTCTCTCTGCCACTTAATTATATAGCGTCTCCCTTTCATTTCTAGATCCTTCGTTGGCAGTTAAGCATCAATTTTTTGGGTTTATCAACCAACAGGTAGGCGGCTGATGCTGAGCAAGGTACATGATGACAAAAACAGACTAACGAACCAACAATAGGTTTCTGCTTACTGTTTTTGAGTTTTACATATACATATGTACATATGTAGGAACGCTTCCCACCACGATGAAATGCTGCAAGCGTTTCCGTGGTGAGATATGTAGCAAGCGACTCAGACATTTTATTGAATATGACGCAATATCGGAAAACTCACACATCGAAAAGAAAAGGCAGACGGTGATACTGTCGAGCTTTGCTACTTGAAAGTGGCTACAAAAGCTTTCGCTTGTATAAAAGAACGTACGATCGTGTAACATCCAAAAAGCATATAATTATCATAATCATCACTTTCTACTTTGTCGCTCTAGAGCTCTCGAGTGGATGTAAAATATTGACGTTTGAAAAATAAGATCTATTGCTTTATTCGAATTTTTGAAAAGTGTAACTTCCTATAGTGGATACTATCTCCTCATCTCTATCACAGGACGCTGCTTATCTAGCTCCGAACGCAAGGTAAACCCAACAACCTGTAAAGTGCAAACCTCTATAATTATTTTAATGTTATTGCTATATTATGCGTTGCCATCTCACCCAGATAAAAACTGTTTAGTGTACCTTTTCATTCTAATGCCTCCATATCGGTGATATCCAACTTTCTAGGGACTGATTAATTCCGATGTGCGACCGCTCCCTAGTATATTTCAGTATTTTATCGCCTTTTTTTGAAACTTGCACCGCATCGAGTCAATGGTGTACGTGAGAACTTCATATCACGGCTTTTGAAAACAAAACCCATCCAGACAGACATATTATAGGAAAGCTTTCGACAGAGTAAATCACGATCTACTTTTGTCTAAATTAGAAAATTTTGGAGTATCAAGCAGTCAACACAGTGTACCCCAAGTCTTCCATTGGTCCAGTTTTATTCAATTCATTTGTTAAACGATGTTGCAGAATCTATATCAAATAGCATCAGTTATTTATGCTGATAGTCTTAAATTATTCAGAACAGTGAGCAGCATCCACGATGCGGGAATCAAAAACCAAAGAGATCTCATTAATCTTACTCAGTGATGCAGTTCTAATAAGACCAACAACTATTTGAATAAATGCTACCAGTTATTGTAATCTGTCACATAAACGTCATGTTTTTTGTATGTAACGGGAATCCGTAAATAAATAAATAAATGGAATGGAAACTTGATATTTTTCTCAACCCATCTTGGAAATACTTCTGAAGAAAGTACTCTAGTTGAAGCGAAAATTTATTATTTTTTAAAACTCACTTAGGGCACTACTGAGGGCAAATTAATAAAGAGAATGGACTCCTTGATCCAACGGGATCTGCTTTTAATTGGGGGCTCGTTCGAAATAGGTACTGTTGTAATTTCAACCCAAAAAGGATAATGCAAGTATATTTTTATTTTATTTTTTATTTATTTTATTTTTTATTTTATTCATTACAACACCCTACAGTAAATACCAATTACAGGGTGAGGAAACACAGAACATAACACAGATATAAAAGACAATAATAAGTAATAAGTAATAGACTACAAAGTGTAAAAGATACATGGCAAGTGCGCCTTGCTTCAAGACTGCTGATTAGATGTTTTTCAAGTAAGGAATCATGAGGTATACCTATGGGCGGGTAAACGCCATCCACTTTCAGTGACAAATATTTTAAGAAACACATTCAAGCCTACTTATATGAATAATATGATGCGGATTCCAAATTAACAATGCATACTCAAGCTTCGACCTAACATATGCATAATACAGCAACTTCAAGGTGGTACTCTGAGTGAAGTCACGACAGTTTCTTACAATAAAGTCGTACATGCGGTTTGCCTCGGAAATTTTGCTGTCAATGTGTTTGACGAATGTTAGTTGGGAGTCAAATGTCACGCCTAAGTCACATAAAGTTGAAGTCCTCTGAATAGAGCTACCTGACAGGGTATAGTCAAACAGAGGATTTTTCTTCAAAGTGTAAGACATTACGTAACATTTATTGATGTTTAATGACAGATTGTTTTGTGAGCACCAAGCATCCAACCTGACCAGATTTTCTAAAAGTTGATCACAGTCTGATTCATCAACTACACGACAAAACATCTTCAGATCATCAGCGTAAAGTAAACAATTCTCGCCAACAGCATTAACTATGTCATTCACAAATATGACGAACCATAAAGGCCCTAGGTTACTGCCTTGTGGCACTCCGGAATTGGCTACATACTTCGACGATCTGATGCCATTAAACATCACAAATTGATTTCTTCCAGTGAGGTAGGACTTAAATAGTTGTATTAAAGGATCGGATAATCCATGAGATTTCAGCTTATGCAATAGCATCCTGTGATCAACTCTGTCGAAAGCCTTGGAGAAGTCTGTGTAGACCACATCTGTTTGTAATCCTTTGTTAATGTTTTCTGCTATAATAATTGTATCAGAAATCGGGTATACTTATTTGTGTATTGTTTTGATAAATGATTTTTGACGGTCTGCATAAGAAACTTAAACTTGAGCAGAATATAGAAGAAACATAGTATATGATTGCAACTTTGAGTTTAATATAGTACCTAATCTTTTTTTGGAGATTATCTGTCCGTACGCCAATGTTAGAAAGGAACAAAGTTACGATGATGGCTCATTGTAAAGGCGCGGTGTGTTCGCGGATTATAGTTGTAAATATGGCACGATCTATCGAGAAATATGGAGAGAATCGCTGGTACGGAAGTTCCACACGTTTTGTTTATAGCTAACTCTAAATTTAGGAGCAGACAATCTGCCTTAGTAAGCAATAAATGAAAGGGAAATACGATATCAGTTTCACTGTTTCACTGTAAATGCCGCTAAGCCTCCATATTTTATTTAGATTCTACTGAGAAATGTCTTAGAGCTATTCGGATTTGGATTTCTAAAACAGATCTTTTTAGTGCCCAAATGTATACACTACAAGTATTAATATTTTCATAATAAACAGTCCCATATATCGTCAGCTTACAACAAAAAAAGATAACTTCGTAAGGGTTTACGTAACTCGTCCGAAAGTCAAATATTGTAGAACCAGAGTCTAGATCAGTTTGCGGTAATTGAAAAGGATATAACACTGCATGTGCCCTACTAGATTTAAACGAAAACATTGTTAGAGCCTGGGGCCAACAGATGATCACATCATTAGTTCTTCTTGATTTCTTTGAGGCATTCGATACATAAATCATCGTTTCATAGTAGTCAAGTGTAAATATTTTCGTTTTTTTATTCTTCCTTCAGTATTATTCAGAGCTTTTTAGGTAATTGATATCAAAGGACACTCCGGAGACATGGTTTTGTCTATGGAGTGCCTCAAGGGTCCGTACTTGGGCCACTCCTAATCGTTTTGTATTATTTCTGACCTGCATGCAGCAGTTAAATATTGCAATATCCAATTCACAGATCTACAGTCATTTCCATAATTACAACGTTCAGAGTGCTGAATCTGATGTAAATGAAGATATAAAATCTAGTATGCAAATAATCGTAACCTTCAGTTGTACTCTTCAAAAACCAAAATAATTATTTTTTCAACAAAACTGTTTAGGAGCGATGCCAAAAGAAATTTTAACATTAACTTAAATGGTGAGACCATCGAAGTAAGTTTAAATAGAATGTCTAAATTTTATACAGCATGTAAATAATATCAGTAGGGAGTTGTTTCTCCATTCAAAGTCAATTATATCTTAATAAACAATTTCTTTACTGTGCACCTAAAATGTTGTGTAATGTCCAAAATTAGTTAGTGTTATTTAGTTTATCTTCCATTTCTAGACTCAATATCACTCACTCGTCTCGAGAAAACCCAAAATTCATGTTCTAGGTTGATTAATAATTTGAAAATATACGATTATATCAGCTCTTTTTCAAAAACTTGGAGTGGTTGAGAGTACAAGAACTATGTGAGCTACACTTAGTTACTATCTTTTGCTTTCACCCATTCCCACGTTTCTGAAAAATAAGCTGATATCTGGAAGTAATATTCATTATAGGGTCATCCGATTCACCGAAAAATTCACAATGCCGCTGTACAGGACATCATTATTTCGTAAATGCTTTACCTACACCGGAGTTATTTTTTACAATCATATACCACGACCTACAAATTACTATCCTATGATGAATTTGAAAGACATATGAAAAAACTAATTTTGAATAGAAGTGCAAACATCAGTTACCAAAATTTTGAAAGTTGCTGTCAAAGTGACAAAGCTATCCCGTGGTTATTGCTATGTTATGTAGCATAAAAACGCTGCACAGTTGGACCGGTTTACGTAGGCTCAACGGGCAAAATCACATTTTTATTCCACAAATTATAAATATTCGACATAAAAAAGCTGGGCCTCTTACAAAACAGATGTACGGTAACTTTTTTACTTCAATCGCATTCTTGTGGTTTTTCACCAAATAAAAAACTACAATGTGGTTTCAGTTTAAACTCTTATAGTAGCTGCCCCGTGGACTACCGTATTTTTTATGAGAAAAAAAAGTCAAGTATGTTCACCAAACACTTCCCAGATAATGCTGTTCAGTAGAAGATAGACTCTGAGAAAAAAATTAGCTACGAACGTGTAAAACAGATAAATTAAACGGATCAAATAAGTCAAACAGACCCCTGTAATTAGTGTATCGATATATCTTTTTCCAGTCCTCTTTACTGATAGATTGATGGTACTACTGTACCTGGACCTGTAATGGCGATGGGGGACAATGAGACACCGTTGAGCTCAGAGAGAAACCGGTGTCAAAGGTATTTCCCTGTTATTCTAAGTTTTAAAGGCAAACGTACGAGGAAATCGGAAGAGTATAACATGTATGACAGTGCACTGACCTCCACTTTTCAACCCCTACAAATTCCCAAAAGACATCAGAAGTCGAAAAACGAAAGATGGAGTTTATAAAAAACACACTCTAAGCTTACTGGAGAAGACGCGGTCGATATATTTACTAAAAAATTATCCAAATCAGGCTACTGATTCCGAAAAAAATACTACTTCTTAACAGTGCATTAATTTCTTGGAGATCCTATCAGGAATGATTGAGGGCATATGAGCTCAGACTTTGGACATGACATCTGCAATTCTTTGATTTACAGAAGTTGCTGTCTTGCTTTCAGTCTGAGTACTCAGTAAAATGGGCCGTGTACCGGGTAAAAACCGAGTACTGGGTGCACCCCTACATCAAACATTGCACCTACCTTTGAATCCTTTGTACGAATGGCCAAACAAAAGCTCGTCCTCCAGGTATAAGTAGAGGTTTACTGTGACAACATCCTGTAAAGATTCCATGTATTTATAACCATTTTTATATTTCGTTATATATATATCAGTATATCTTATACTAATCATTTTTACAAGGATGAAAGTAAAATAATATAATCTAAGTAAATTGCTTTTAAGATAACAAATAATCAGGAAAACATTTTCATCTTTCATCAAATGCCTCATATATTTTTATGTAACCCCCTCTAAAAAATGATGGATGACTGAACATGGAGCCTGTTAAAGATTTGTTTTTAGGTAGGTAGGTATATCTTTTTCTACCTATCTCTACAAAAAAATCATAAGCTGATTATGACTGAATACAGAGAGGTCAAGAAAAAACACGTCGTTTATCGTTTAATATACGTTTCTACTTTGTTGAGTGAGGTCAATTAAAATGAATTTACGTCTGTCACTTTTCCAACATCGCGCAGCACGCTACTGGTACATACCACCATCCAATTTTCTGATAGCGTAAATTCCGATAATGAAACATTTGTTTTGAATTATAAAAATACAAATCCTATAAATAAACATAATAACTAAACAGCTAAAATGCATCGTCCTTTTGTTTTAATTACAGAATACAATAAATACCTAACACTACAATAATAAAATTCTAGTCACAGCGTTCAGAATTGATCAATAATTGACAGGACTTACCCGAAACTACTAGAGCTTCATTTGGGCCGCAAGTAACAAAGCCCCACGTCATTTTGGAAAATTATAAAAAGCCTATAAACAAAACTAGGAGCCTGGCACAACAAGTAAATTGACGTAATACGGGAATGCATAAACACTGCATAAAGCTCTTTACGCCACGTTGCCAGATTGTACAAATTTTGTGTAAATTATCCGTGTTACAGATTTGCAATGTGGATACCTATTTTAGCACAATATTGTATCATGACGCAAAATCAAATAATCATGGGTCACATTGCATTGATAATGCATCACTGCTCCAATAATTATCACGCAAGATACCGTTTTGACCATTTTATATTTACGCGAATAATATCAAATGCATCATCTCTGGGTATAGACAATTTTAAATCGTACGCTGTTACTCCGAGTAGGTATCTCACTTCTCGCTTTGAGAAGTGAAAGTGATTAGAATGAGTTACGTAAAGAGATTCCTATTATTCAGAAATGTCTGAAAATCTTGGAACATTTTCAAGTTACAGACATACATTTATATTATATTAGTAAAGTTGCACGCTCAATGAGTCAAAGCAAACTGAAGAGAACTGAGAAGAAATTTGCCGCACATCAAATTTGACACGTTGCTCTCAATAAAGTCAATGGTCATGCACTATAAAGGTTCCTACGTCCCATTCTAAGGTACAAGCTCAGGCATATATATTCTTTCGCAACGTCTCACCACCTCGAACATTTACTCGCCAACGTATAAGTATCCCTGTTCTATGATTGCCACTGTCAGTGTGACAACCTACTTGACTTGGGCGAACCATTTCGAGGAGTTTACTTTTTATTCGCCTGCGTAATATTAAAGATACCCTAAAATACAACTAACAAAGTCGATGATTTTTGTCAAAACTATTGTAGTATTTCGAGAAAGAGAATTAAAGCAATGGTTCTTTATTATTCAACTCATATGTGCAAGAGCAGCTGTACTCAAGATCGGTTTGCCCAGTGTTCAAGTTTCCTATGGAGCTTCATTTTCGCACAGGCAACAGTCAGTCGATTTCCCAACTTATTTCCTATGACATTGATGACATAACCGCAAAAATCGTGAAAAGAACTATATACAATAAACATTTTGTCTCGTTTCACCGTGTCGCAGGCGAAGCGTAAACGATGTATTCATACGGGGTACGGCACATTGGTCGAAACATTGGCTCGAGGCACTGCGAAACGCTTTGCAATCTTTCCATGTCAACCCTCTGACTTATGTTTTGAGGCAAAATATATCGAGATCCCCGAACGACCCAGACCAACAGCGTTCTCCCCTACGTTGTAGTGTCTTCTTGTTACCTGTCACAACCATTTCGGTAGTGTTCTTCAAGAAAAGATGTGAAACTAACTGTTGTGGTACGGCTATCGCGATTTTAACAATTTTATTAGTTTCGTCAACAAAAGTGGTCAAATTCAGATTAAATAGGATAACTGCTTGCTTTCCGGCTCTCGTCTGTGACCATATCCAACGCAATACAACTAATTAGAGACCGACAATAAACTGGTAAAATGTTGGGACACTCAGCTACAACACTTGGTAGGATACCTTCTAAGGGGTGGACCCAATACTTTTTTCGATAGTGCGTCCAATAATGACCTTTTATACCTATGTGTACACCTCAAGTTCAAAAATTTCATTAACACCTAATTGCTAGCTATTGTAAACTTTCTGGAGCCAAAAAGCAGGGATCACTTTCTCATAACGAATGAATGCTCTATTGTTATGTTTTCATCATGGATCATTTCTGGTATATAATTTTAATATCTACATTCATCATGATTAATTTTTAGATATCATATTTAATTCAACTCCTAAAATAATATGAAGCATTTATTTATGCCGCTGCCAAAGATTTCGTTGCTTTGCAGATTTACTCATTACACTTGGCAATAGCGGGTTTTCCTGGCGCCAGCGACGCAGGCGCGTCGTGCGCGTACTTGCCCAGTCAGTTGTATTCATTGATTAAAATCCTAGCTGCATCAGTCGCCATAGGCGTATCTTCAGGGGGTTTGTTGACCCTTGTCCTAAATTAAATATTTTCATTTTATTTATTTATTTACCCTCCTACAAACACATTCAAATGAATTTGAATGTAAGAGCCCTTACTAAAAAATAAATTACAAATACAAAACAACATTTTAAAACCACACATGCAGAACAGAGATAAAATATATATAATATATAAAATAGTATACAATATAAATGGCATCAAGGAAATGTGCTGTTTAGAAACACAGCCTTGATTTGTCCTACTGATATACAAAAAATGTCTAAATTACACTGTTGCATAAGAATGTTACATTCGTACATCATCCTATTTATAGGAGAGCAACTACTGTATTTTTTTAACCTCTAAGCTTGCTTTACCTTTCTTAATTAGTCTGTGAAAACGATTTTTTAATTTAATGTTTTTCTTCAGTGCCAAGGAAAAGTAAATTGGATAATTGTCACCATTATACGTGGCTCTGTTCACTGTTTTTTTGGGTATCGCTTGGTCTAAACATCCATGAAGCTTTCAATAGAATAAGTCATTACATATATTCACATTCGATCGCTGAAGAACACATGCTTTGACATTCTAGTATCAAGAGGAGGTATCGTTAGTTACGAAGGATATACTGCGGCCAGAGGGGAAGTCAGACACCCATCTAGATAGCCTATCTGGGAGGCCATGGGATGGAAGTTTGCATAAGAGGGCAGTAGTTGTAAGGGTCGATTTTAAATCCTTTCTTTGGGTCGGGCTGGACATGAGCGGATTTCCAATTCTCTGGTCTGAAAAAGACGCGAAAGAACGGAACGGCACATTTTTTTCAGTAGAGTAGCAGGAATCAGGACAGAAACAGAAGTGTTGTTGATATCGTAGGCGTAAGGGCAGTCTTGCGGTCTCACGCCTAAAAGGTTACTCCACGTATAATGTCGAGAGCCCTTGGAATCGACGACAATTGGGCATCGGTTGGGTACACCCATGGTGGAGTTGGCAGCAAATATCTTGGCGAGCACTTCCGCCTTAGCCTTTCAGCCGGTTACAATCCTTCTATTTTGCCACGTAAGCGGTGGAAGACTAGTATTCGAGACGTTCCTTTATCTGCTTGGCCACCGTCCAGAAAGACCACTGCGACGTTACCCTGTGCCTAATTTCTTCATCGTGCTGGTATTCGGCATTTCGAACCGCTTCGTTATACTTGTTGTATAGATTCGACATCAGCTTCTCCTGTTATTCTCTACATGATGTTCTTGTTATAGCCTGTATAAGGAATGTACGAGGGATGTCTTTTAAGTTTTGCATATAGAAACATAGTAGGCCACGCGGATCGAACGTCAGTACTGAACCTTAACCTCACTCTTTAGTAAACTTAAATTCAAAGTTTCACAACAATACGTGCAGTGTTCTCACTACAGTGAATTTTTAAGTGTCACCAAGACATTATAGAAATTTGACTCAACCGAGAACATTTTCGCGCCATAATTCATTACAACTTTCAGAGACAATTATCGCAACAAGAATGCCTTGCTGAGTTACTGTATGTTTTCGGCAACGAAGTGCCACACCAGTCGACAATTTCCCATTTGGTATGTAGAATTCAAACGTGGACGGGTGAGTCTTAGCGACGATCCCAGGGTGGGTGCATCAAAAACGGCAGTCACCCAGGAAAACGTCGATGCTGTACGCAAACTCATCATTGAAGATATACGTGTGACATATCGCGAGATTGAGGCGTCCTTGAAGATCTCAAAGACCTCAATTCAAAAAATTTTACATGAAGAATTAGGAGTAAGAGAATTAGTTTCCCGTTGGATGCCCCACCTGTTGACTGAAGAGCAGAAAGCAGCCAGGGTTAATTGGTGTACAGCATTGTTACTGGTGATGAATCGTGGATTTACTATTATGGACCAGAAAATAAACGACAGTCGGCTGTTTGGGTGTTCCACGGTGAAGAAAGGCCAACAAAAGTCATGCGTTCTCGAAGTGTTTCGAAAAAGATGGTGGCGACATTTGTGTCAAAAGCGGGTCATATTGCAACAATTCCTCTTAATGAGCAAAGAACTGTTACTGTGGATTGGTATACCACCATTTGTTTGAAAAAAGTCATCACCGAGCTTCGAAAAATCAACCCCGAAAGAAGAATCATCCTCCACCAAGACAATGCAAGCTCGCACACAGCCCAAAAAACAAGGCAGTATTTAACGGAAGAAAACGTGGAATTATTTGACCATCCTCCATATAGTCCCGATCTAAGTCCTACCGATTTATTTACTTTCCAGTAGATTAAAAACAGACTGCGTGGTCAAAGGTTCCAGTCACCAGAAGAAGCAGTTGACGCATTCAAAAATGCCGTTTTGGATCTGCCAGCAAACGAGTGGAATAAGTGCTTCGAAAATTGGTTCGAGCGCATGCAGATGTGTATTAATCTTCGTGGAGAATACTTCGAAAAACAATAAAATCATTTAAAACTACCTACCGTGTTGTTTTATTTCTATATGCAAAACTCCATCTCAACATGGACAACTTCAGTTATTAAAAAACATACAGCCGATGCATCTGAGTCAGCGGAACAAACTCTTTCCAAGTAAAGCTGGAGAAAAGTTCTCTAAGCCGTCCCAGTCAGCAACGCCAAATTTTGCGGCGGGGCGAGTTTCCGTGGTCACAGCTGATTCTGATATAAGTCTGTCAAGGATTTTTTCGCGAGTCAGATACTCAAATTTTCGCGAAGAACGGGAATAGGGGAAGATGTATGTGACATCTTCGGAATGTCAAAAAATCACGTGGTACGGATACCCGCCTAACGTCTGTGAGGTTCTAGCGGGGATTGACAATACGTCACATTTTTGCTCGTTAAAGTTTTCAAGTTTTTAAAAACATGGAGATATACTCTCTAGGTCAAAATAATGATCCCCCAGCGTCCCCGATGATGAATGGACCCAGCCAGAAGGAGAGAACAGAAATTACCAAGAAATCAAAGGAATTGATGACACCAGCTGTAGCAGACGAAAAGGACGGAACCATCCAGCGCCAGACCCTGATCATCGAAAGCCAGGCTCAGCAAATAAAGGAGCTGACTGAGACCATGAAATCAAAGGAATTGATGAAACCAGTTGTAGCAGTTAGGGATCAAAACAGTAAAATAGACTGCCTGACCACCCAGGTAACACAGTTAATCAATAATGCAAATTTTAATTCTAAATCTGACAAGGATGTCAATTTAAAAAGACCTTTTGAAAATTTAACTGACGTGACATCGACCGGCGATGATAT